TGTTGGAAAGCATCGGAATGATTCAGAATCACTGCGGAGTTGATACTCGGGAAGATAAGACGGGCACTTGGGAGAAACGGACCGTGGCATTTGAGACAGGGGCACAACCGGGGGACAAACGTGCTACAATCGCATACCCTTCCAAGGTCATCGCTTGGGCGACCGCGCGCGCGCCCAAGAAACCTTTCTTTTCTTCTTTTTAGGGGTGGTGGGGGGGGGGGGGGGGGGAGTGGAGGGGAGTGGTGTAGGCGCTGATTGTCTTCCTCCTTTGTGGCTTTTGACAGACGCACAACGAGACTGGCAGAACAAGCGCATGATTCATTTCTTTCGATGGAGGCGTTCTGTCTGTGTATGCGAACATGATTTTTTTCCCCTTTTAGTAGTTAGTTGTTCTTGCCTTGACTCGGGTCCCAGTGGGTGCGTTGTCGTTGTATGCCCACTATTTTTTTTTTTAGTTTATGGTAGTTTTTGCGCTGATGGGGTATCGAGGTAGACAAAAAGTAAAAAAAATGAAATAGCGCCTCGACAAAAAAAAAAAAAAAGTTTTTGCGATCAGGAACGTTTTCAAAGCCATTTTAGGAGCCTGCGGTGTTACCACAGGTGCAGGATTGAGAGCGTAACCCACGCACTTGAAGAGAAGGGGAAGCTCTCGTCTTATTGGAACTCTCTTTTATGGGTTTCCGCGTCGCGATTGTCCTTCAAAATCAACTGTCATTTATTTCTCGCTCGTGGCTTTCAAGTACTGGAAGCCACGACTCGAGCCACAATAGTTTTGCGAAATCAAGGTTTCGCTGAAATGGATAACTCTCACGTACAGTTCGACGCGCAATACCTTTGCCGTATTGACTCGCGAGAGATGCCCCCAACACGGCTGAGTATGGCGGTGCTCCAGACCTAACATCTAAATTTTGTTGCCTTACCTGTTACTATTTCGCGCCCATTTTGAGCCATATCAAAATGAAAGCGCATGATGAAATAAAAGTCACACTCGTTTTCCGCTCGATGGAAATTTCACGCCAGCTCGCTGTCTTTGCTGGTACCTTGAGCGTTTCCCAGCAATGCGGAGAGTTAAAAAAACAAAAAAGAAAAAAAAAAACACGTACGATGGCATCCTTTGCGGGATGAGGACGATTCGTCACATGCGCATTCGTCAGAGGACGAATGGTCACAGGATGATTCGTCACATAGGAACATTTGTCACAGGATGACTCGTCATGCGGGCAACTGGTCTCATTGATCGAGCAGGGGACGATAGTAAATTGTAAATTTCAACATCTGCCCACATACCCTGATGAGGAGTTTCACAATTTTCCACTGTCACGTAAACCAATGGTTATATAAACTAATATTACAATACTCATCCGCTTTTCCTTTCATTATATTACGGGTCTTCAGCAGGTTGATCTCAGTTGCAGGCTTGAACGAGCAATAATCCGACTGGCAGCCAAATTAGTTTTTAGTTTTGCCTTGCATACACCTATTCGACAAAACCAACAAGTATCGGAATTCCTTCTGCCGAATGTGTACGAGTACCCCTCGTGCAGCATCATGGCTCTCTCTGTTGCGATCACCTCCATCCTTTTGAATGTAGTTCAAAAATAGTCGCTCTTCTATGGCCTCCGCATTCACCGTTCAGGACGGACCCAGATAGCTAGAACGTCTGTTACAAATTCTTTGACCTCGAGAAGCGAAAGACATGCTAAGATAAGAGGTGACCGACTTTCTGAGGCCCAACCAACATTCAATGTTCGGGACCGAATCAGAAGCTAAAACGTTCCTTACAAATTCTTCGCCTTTGTCCGCCCGAACCAAATTGAACAATACATTTTTGGGGGGACGAACTATTGTGAGACCGGTTGGCCGCGTGACGAGTCATCCTATGACGAATGTTCCTGTGTGACGAATCGTCCTGTGACCAATCGTCCTGTGACGAATGTGCATGTGACGAATGGACCGTATCCCATCCTTTGCACACTCATTACTTCTATAACACTGAGCCACCTCGTATCCTTTTGTTTTTCTTTCATGGTACTAATTTCTTTCTGCGCATTACGGCTGTTACGACGCTAAGTCTGTCTGCCCTTCGAATTTAAACTTAGGCTCAGATCAGGGACGAACCAGTTTAAATCAGGAAAATATAATTAACACTGTAGCAAAGTAAATCTATCATATCGATCGGAAATACGATTTGGCACATTCCATCTGAACACATATTGTGCACAGCGAATGCAATAGCGAGTCAGCGTGCAAAACGCCGCCACACTGAGCTACCATAACATCTCAGCGATTTTTGCATAGCACCGAGCACGGAAAAGAGAAAACAGTTATTCATTCACATAAACGAAGCAAATTTATTTAAAGCCCGGACACTCCGTACGTCCAATCTAGCTAAGGTTATCAATAGACTCGACCATGTCATTTGTCGAAACAGATAAAAGACGTTGGCAAAAATGATTAGACTGAATAAGTGAATCTAACGCACGTATTTTACCAACCGACGGTCGCGCGCCTTCAATACCCTTTCCAATTGTCATTGCGCACCTTGGACACACTTTGGGAAGCAATGCATATTTACATCGCCGCCCGAGGTCTCCATTAAACGTGTAGTGCTGACCCAAATAAAATGCTAACCTGACTCTCAATCGCTCACCGCAAAGGACGATTTCGAACAGGCGGTACTGTAGGTCACTTGAGATAAAAAAAAGAAAAGAAAAACAAGCTATAGAAACGAGCGTCGTAGAAAGGGGACCGGCATTTTTATTCCTACCTCCGAACAGAAACGAGCGCCACCCACTGCATCACACAGCGCAGAGGCCGGACTCGGTCACCGCGCGTACATACCAAGCGCGCGCGAGGGATGCAGAAACTTCCTCCGCCGGGAGAACACGGCAGATTTCGTTATCTATTTCACGCAGCGGATAACGCGGGCCTTTTCACACCTCGATACTGGCGCCATCTAGAAGTTGCGCGTTCAACCGGATGGATGGATGGATGGATGGATCTGGCTAAACCCTGTGAATCGGGCGGTGGCTTGCGCCACCTAGCCAACATTATAAATCTAATATGTTTTGAATTCCAAGATTAAATCTCACCCCTGCCTCGATTTTAGCCACCAGTCTGATAACCTCCGCTTGGTTATTTCTACCCGTGTAAAGTCTATTTTTCCTTCACTGTCTTTAAAACCCAATGCTTTGATTAAATCCGCCCGGTCACTGTTAACTGTTGGGTGAAGCCCTTTACAGAAAAGTATTAAGTGTTCAGCCGTTTCCTCCTGCTCCCCACACACACTACATAAAGTGTCCATCTCCTGGTACTTAACCCGGTACGTCTTAGTCCGCAATACTCCTGTCCTGGCCTCAAACAACAAAGAGCTTCCCCTAGAATTATCGTAGATATTTTCTTTGCAAATTTCCTGTTTGAACATTCTGTACGTCTCCAGTGCTGGTTTTGTCTGCATACCCGTTTCCCACAGACCCTTCTCTGTTTCTTTTATCCTTTTCTTAACCCGTAATTCCTGGTTGGCGCCCCCACTGCCGCCCAAATATTTGCTTGATAATTTTCTAGTTCGCTTTCTCCATTTGGTATCTACATTCCTCATGTACAAATAACTGAAAACTTTCCTAGCCCACTGCTCTTCCTCCATTTCCCTCAAACGCTCCTCAAATTCTATCTTGCTGCTAGCTTCCCTGCCCTCGAATGACGTCCATCCCATGTCGCCTTGTACCCCCTGATTCGGCGTATTTCCATGAGCTCCCAAAGCAAGCCTACCTACGCCCCGCTGTTTAATTTCTAACTTTGCTTGAATATCTGGTCTCATGCACAGGACCGCATTGCCGAAGGTCAGGCCGGGAACCATGACCCCTTTCCAAATCCCCCTCACCACTTCATACCTACTGTAATTCCACAGAGCCCTATGTTTCATGACGGCTGCATTCCTGCTACCTTTCATCGCTACATGTTTTTCATGCTCCGTTAGATACTCAACACCATTATTTATCCATACACCAAGATACCTGTACTTATCCACTGCCTCCAACATGACCTCTTGTATCCTATGCTTGCCACCATCTTTATCATTAAAAATCATCACTGCCGATTTTTCTTGACTAAATTTAAGACCTAGTTTATCTCCCTCTGTACCACAGATATCCATTAATTTCTGCAAATCTTCTTTGTTGTCGGCCATTAGCACTATATCACCACGTTTCGAGCCGCGCGCCATCTGGTGGCTGAAACGGACGAATAAATAGAGGTACCGCGCCCTCTTAAGGAGATGGAGGACAGTCCAAATCGTTTTGTCAAACACCTTACAAAGGCAATACACGTCATTCGGTAAAAATCGAAGGGTCTTGGCGGGAACGAGCTTCGTGCAGTTGCAGTTGGAACGGCTGGATGCGCAGCTCACTCTGAGTTTCGCCAATTGAGAGGTAGCTACCGCCATCTATCGTCGCGGACACTCGAACGCTAGTCGAGACGGTCGTCTCTGCCACCTCGGCGATCCCGCTATCTCGGTGCGCGGGAGCGCCGGACGCAGCCCTCTCCCCCAGTGCTGCACGACTGAATGACAGTAGGAAACAGTGCGCTGTGCGTACGTTCTTTCAAACGCGCACGACCCACACTGCCACGAGAGGGTTTGGCGCTGTAGGCGCTGTCTAGTACAAGTTTACGGAGCGGAATGAACTCTCCCTGGTATAGTTTTGGTTGCACGTTAGAGGTGAGTATTTTTGGGAAAATAAGGGGAGGGGCAGCCCAAAGAAACGCATTTCAAAATCGAGGATATCGTGGATATCTATGACTCGAGCACCGCCATCGGATGACTTTTTCGCAAAATGGCCCGCCTTCTCGGTATGCGACTAGCTCTTGCCCGATAAAAGCAGCAGCCGCGGTGGCATTCACAGACATCCACACTCGCGCAACGTGGAGGAAAAGGGCGAACGGCAAGCGACCTTGCGCGAACCTTGGCCGCTTTCTGTAAGAGTTGTGTCCCCTCTCTTCCGCAGCGCCCGTTCAGCGCGTTGAGACCGAGGACGGCTTCGAGAGCACCTTCCAGGCCAACCACCTCGGCCCCTTCCTCCTCACCCACCTCCTCCTCGGTGAGTGAGTGGTCGAGATCACGTGCCCGAGACGGAAGCCCCGACACGTGCCTCCGTCGCACGCGCGGAGAGGGCACGACGAGCGGGAGCGGTCAGGTAGGTCAGGGTCGTCGCTGCCCTGACCGCATTACAGGCCGGGCAGTGAAAGTTTATTCGACAGGTAGCGCCATCTTGCGCGCAACTGTCGTCGCTCTAGACGGTTCCGCGAGCTCCAGCGTCTGTGTGCACTGCCGAACGGTGACGTAGCGCTCGTGTCCAATCGATCCGATGGATGGATGGATGAATGTAAACGGCTCTACCCTTCGTAACGGGCGGTAGCCTGCGCCACCTAGCCTCAGTCTAAAGAGACAAACATATGATTCCTCCCGCCCTTCTAAGCCAATTTTCTCGCCCTATCACCACGCAGCGTGGGATATCACCAGGATAACTTTTCGGGGATCATACAAAAAAGAAAAAAACAACACTAAAAAGCATTTTTCCCTGCTTCTTTTCCCCAGCGAAGTTGTGTGGCGTGGCCTACGCGATGTTGTTGCCCTTTTGACCCACAAGCCGCTCTGACTAGCAGCAAATAGTATAACTAACCAAATGACGGAGCCAGGTATCGCCTTCCTGTTCCTTTCGCCACTTCTCATTGGCGGTCCCGAAATGAGTCCAACGCGTTGGGTGTGAGATGGGAAATGTTTTTTGCTCTGCGTTTGCGAAATGTAGATTTTAAAATCATCTATGGCGAGCAGAAAGGTTCTTGAATCTTTGGACCTCGTGTGTTATTCGGGATGTTTCTCGAAAGGCGGGCCAAATCGCCCCTGCGAAAAGTATGTAAAGAAAAAAGATTAATGTCACATTGTTCGGTGCTAAAAGACCAATTTGAATAAAAACTGATAACGCTCGGTATAATTAGTTTATTAATTATGGCCTCAGGGCAGTCCAGTTTGGTGGGACGGGTCGCGCCATCTGTCTCTAAATATTTGCAACACCTGAAAGGCCCCTTTCCAGGCCACCTTGCTCGTGGGTCCGTTCGTGCATACTTTGAGGGTATTCATTCGAGAGTATTGGGTTTTTTACTCCTCACATTGCCATCAGCTGTTGCAAAACAACAAACGTCAAAGCTATAGGCCCAGTTGCGTACCGGTTTGTCGCAACCCGGAAGGCTTAGCAAATGTGAAACTCCGCAGGCTCCCGCCGTGGCCATAGGGAAATAAAATGCCGTCAGAGATGAATAAATGTCGTGAAATGTGTAAAACTAGCATTCAGTTCACATTACATGTCCCGACAAAATGGAAATGGATTTTTTCATTTGCTTTTTGACTCTACGTATGGATACACTCGGCTTCCAGGAGCAAAAACATCAAGTCGGAACTTCACTGATCGGTCTACTACGTAGATGAGGAAAACTTCACTGAGCACCGGGGCCAGGCAGGAGCATGTACAAACACCTTCATTTTGCCTTAATATTTTGCCGTTTTATTTATCGAGTTTGGACTGAAGTATAATGCATGGACATTTGTGAACTTCTTAACGACGATCCTTGAGGTTTTGGGGAATTTACAAGGACCATGTTCATGCATTGCGTCCGAGACGAAATTCAAAAGAATTTGAGGTCAAGACTGTAGTATAGTTCTTCTATATCTAACGAAAACATGGAGTGTGGCTGGGTGGTAGAGTATAGGGAGGTGAGGTGGGAGATAAGTTGTGCGGAGTTAGAAATCCAGAAAGGCTGAATGATAGTCACTGTGGAGAGATGATTCTGTAGAAATAAAGGCCTGTCCAAACAGCAGTCGAATCTGGCAAAAATAGTAAAAAGTTGAAGCGTCCGGCGGTCCGGCAGTCCGATGGCTGTTCGAACACCACTGAGCCTATTAACGATTTTCCTCCTCGCTTCCTCCACTTTTCGGGGACCTCGGTGCTCTTCTGACTTGACGTCACACGCCAGCTGCCAATGCTGTACATCTGTTCTGCCAGGTCCTCGTAGCCTTGGACGTGTTCCAAACTTGACTCGATCTTACTCTAGGGTAAGGGTGTTGAATCTTTGCGTTCGAAAACTTGCCCGCGTCCAGCGTCGCTCTATCCGTATTATCACGAGACACAACCCGCCGGAGTAGCTCGGATCTATTTAAATAAGATTTCGAACACAAGCCCTTCTCTTTCCCGTTTTTGGGACCTAAAGAGCAGCGGAGGCCTTGCGCAATTGACCGAAGCCAACAGAGCTAGTGAGTGGCTGTCCGAACCCACGTGATGAGCATGCTCAAGGTCGCCGTGGAAGGCAGGGGTAAAATTTGACTAAACAAAATTTTTCCCCGGCAAAAAAAAAAAAAAAGAAAAGAAAATAATAAATAAATAAAAACGGATGGAAGCGGACCGCCGTACGACCTTTGTAGGAATCGTATCCTAACGAATTTTAATTAATTAGCCGACTGATCGTTACGATTAGCCTCCTATATTGTGTCCCCCTGGCCGTATAACTCACCTCCACAAGCGGCATAAGTGTAACTTTCACAGATTTTTTTTTAACAAATCTGTTAGCTTAAAAAAAAAGCCTGTATATTAGCTGTTTGAGTGAAACCAGCGGTATTGACACGACGTCCAAAGTTGAGGAAAAAATAATTCCGTTTTAACACATTTAACTTTCTGCTAGAGTTTCGTTCTTTGGAGAAGAGCTACCACATAATTATAAAAAAATGAAGCCACCCTTCAATCTTTTCCTGCTAAATTTGGCTGGTAATGCTTCATACGGAGCTCTGGTTTGGGGGACAAGTTGATCTTGATCAAAAAGTAACCTCACGGACGTGGGGTATATGGTCAGGTGAGACAGCGACATGGCGTAAGTGTGACATGTTAACGTCATATGATCACGTCACAGGAGTGACGCTGTCACGTGACACGTTGACTTCATGTGACCTGATCACGTGATATCAGGAGGCACACATCTGACCTGACGTAACGTGACGTCCGTCAAGACGTGTGTTTGTCTCTACGGATTCACGTCCGCATGAGTTGCCTAAGCAAAATTTATTCCCTGAGATCATTTTTTCGTCGTTCCGCAGACCTCCTGAAACGCAGCGCACCCAGCCGAGTCGTCATGCTGACCTCGGTGGGCCAATGGTTCGGTAGCGTCGACTGGGACAACTTGGACTTTCGGCATTACAAGCAAGAACGCATCTACTGTAACACCAAACTCTACAACACGCTCTATACCGTGGAACTCGCACGGCGACTAGCCAACACCGGTAAGTACCACCTAGTAAAATAGGAGCTGAAACACCCAATTCAGCCTTATTATGCGTCTGCTATCGCCACAAGCTTTACTATGTCTCAATTTGTCAGAAAGTCAGAAGTATGAGATATCAACTTCATATTGCGTACCTAGGTCGGTCCACAGCTCTAAATGAACCGGCAGGAATATGAAAAACTATGGAGAACTGTTTCCGCACATATTATCCGCGATAGTTTATTGGTATTAAGGAACGACATGAACATAGTAGAAGTAAACTGGCAAACAACAGCGCTGTACTTTTAAGACTGAAACAACTAGCCTATCTGTCTACTTTATATAAGTACATTGAACTCACAAATATATTCATTGGTTATACAATTTCCACAGGGCACGATAGAAAAATGAGGTAACCATCTCTTTGACCAGTAAGACTCAACAACACATCGCAGAAAGCTGAGGCTTAGAGCGAATATGACGCCAGTGGTGGTTATACGGCTTTAAGGTTTAATAACATGGCATTTCTTGTATTAAGGTATAAAATAAAACAAAAAAAAATATTTTTATATTGTCACGAATGATAAGTGATGAGGCGATAATAACTGAAGAAACTAAACGTTTAATGGGGGCGAACTTGTGCCCAAAAATAAAAAGAAAACAGAAGATAACAGCAGAGCGTCGCGGGCGTCGAAGTCGGCGAAAGAGCAGAGTCGAACGCTGGGGCGAAACTGACTGTGGCTCGCCACGCAGAGCCCTTTATGTATACATGCGTGGTTCTGGAATAATCGGCGTAGAAAGTTCGACGCGTAGCACGTTCGGACCTCGAAGAAGCTAAAAGGATTCTTGAATTTACCAGAATACTAGTCTGCATGAATAAACAAAAAGGTGCGCCGCTCCCAGGAATCGAACCCTGGCTTTTCGCGTGGAAGACAGGTACAATAAACGTTAGGTCACGCGCGCGCTGCCCAGTTGGCCAGCTCCGCGCGCGGCAATATGAACTACACACAATACACACTGCAGCACAAAGGACAAGGACAAGTGAAACATGTAGACAGGACAAGTGCTGATCTCACAACTGACGTTTAATGAAAAGGCTGTCAATGAGAAGAAAGATGTGAAGGGTACTTTTAATTTCAGTGTTATAAAATAAATGTTGAAAACACGATCAGAGTTAGTCTCTGATCGTGTTTTCCATTTTAAAACTGATAAATAATATTAATTACTTAATCTAATTCGATTACTGATTAACCGAAGTTACAGGAGGCAATCAAAATTTGCATGCAAAAAAAAAAGATGATGGTAGCTCAGGGACGTTTACACGTAAAACAAAAAAAGGAGGATAAGAGACACCAATTTCAAAATCTAGCTGTTTCGCCAACAGGGCTATCGATGTCAAACTTATGCAAGCTTTCCCCTTGGACGTAATCACTTGCGTCTAGTAAACTTCTTTAGTCCTTTGGTCATGAAGCTGCTCGAGTACTTTCATGTCAGAAAAAAATTAAGGTGCAACCACAGTCCCTCACATGCACGGCTAGATGGCCCGCCGGTGATGATTTAAGAAATAGCCGGTGATGATTTAAGGAATAGAGCATGCTCCCGGAGTATCACGTTGACACACCTCCCTGACTGTCCCAGATACACTTTTTCACAGTATGATGGGATTTCGTAAATGATGTTGCTACGAGACAATAAACTTCCATGGTAGTCTTGATGCTTGTTGATCTTTGGACACAGCCGTATAAGTTTGTCAGGTGCCGTAAAGAGGATTGGGTCCTCACACCACGCAGCTACTCGTTTCAGGTAGTAGGACACACGGCGAACGTTGGGCAATACAACAGGCATACCTCGGCATTCTCACTCATGAGTGCGATCACTCACGATCACTCACGCTCACCGTCAGATTTGAGATGATCGTGAGTGAGGCCGCGAGTCTCGGAAAATTGTGAGCGTGAGTGTGAGTGGGATCGTGAGTTATGTGAATTCATGAGTGTGAGTGTGAGTGTGATCGTAAGTTATGTGAACTCATGAGTGTGACTGTGAGTGTGAGTCCTGAGAGCTCATGAGCGTGAGTCTGATTGTGAGTGTGATCGTGAGTACTGAGAACTCATGAGTGTGAGTGTGAGTGCGAGTCCTGCGAACACATGAGCGCGAGTTTGATCGTGAGTTTGATCGTGAGTGTGATCGTGAGTTCTGAAAACCATTGAATGTGAGTTTGAGTCCAGAGAACTGATGAGTTTGAGTGTGAGTTCTGAAAACTGATGAGCGTGAGTTCTAAGGACTCATGAGTGTGAGTGTGAGCTTGAGTCCTAAGTGAAGTACTCATGAGCGGGAGTTTTGCGATCTCTTGAGTGTGATTGTGAGTTTCAAGGCTCATGAGCATGAGCCTGGATCAAGACGTGAGTCTTACCGCTCATTCACACTGGAAGCGGATCCGCGTTCGCGGAGCGGTTGCGAACGCGGTTGTAGTATAAAGATCCAGTAAAATTGCACGCGCACTTGATGCCATCGAGTGCGCGTGCAGTTGTACTGGATCTTTATACAACCGCGTTCGCAACCGCTTTGCGAACGGATATCCGCTTTCAGTGTGAATGAGCGGTTAGGGCAAATATGAGTCCGGTGGTTGCATTAGTCTGCCTGATGACGTGAGAGCTGCCGGGCCATCTTAGTGTGCGAGGAGACTCCCGCTTCGCAACTACTGTGTGGGGCTCAGGGTTGGTTTGGGTGTCGCTCGCCTGCTCCTCCGCCATGTAAGCGCGCTGGGTCCTGTGGAGGGTGGAGGAAAGGAGGGGGTGCTTGCTCTTGCAGGCTCCTCCTTGCCAGCGTCCTCTGCAATGTCTCAACCAGCTGTGGAGGGCAGAGGGAGTATGGGGGAGGGGGGGGGGGGTCGCTTTCGTCTCTCCTCGGCGTTCGCTCTCCGCTTCCCGGCAGACGGCAAGACGCCAACGGACTGACGGCGCCTCGTGGCGGTGCGCTAGCGTCGGAGTTGGGGAAGCGTTCCAAACGGTTAGCCTTCCTCTCTCTGTGGCATAGAAAGGCTCGTGTGGATTTCGGCTCCCGTTGCCAAGTTGGTGCCGGTGCGCATTGAATTTTATGATTGCGTCAACTATACCGTTCGCACGGCTGCGACAAAATTAAGTGACTCGCATGATCCTCATCATCACCCAATCGAACAAACAATTTTACCGTTCGCACGGCTGCGACAAAATTAAGTGACTCGCATGATCCTCATCATCATCCAATCGAACAAACAATTTTATCTTTCCGCACACCTCACCGTACTTTTCGCATATGAGTTAACACTCAAAAAGTGCAACGAAGGCGGTGTCATGATAGATCAAAGCTTCGAGTGAGATGTTTTACATTGTGCGATATCGTGCTTTTATGTGTCGTTCGGGGCAAGATAGCACAGCGCATGATATCCAGCCAGCAATGACCAGGCGGAGCCACGAGAGTGCTCCATTCAGCTCCACAAGCGGAGGTAAATGGGGCGGCCAGTCTGCCCGTCAGGCCGTGGCGAGCGGCGGCGACCCTAATTTCAGCAGTTCCTGTGTGCACGTGCGCGCCATGTCCCTGTTTATTTTATGTTTGGAGCATATTCTAGAGTTGTCATTTGAACACCAGTTTGAGTGGTCTTCATCACTTGTGGGGTCGCTCTATAATAATCGCCGCCCGATCGGTCTGAGAAGGCAGCGAGAAGGCAGCGAATGGGTTTACTGCACTTCCCGGTTGCCCGTCTTCGAGAGCCGGCAGTCGGACCCGCCGACCATAGTTGTTGCCCGTCGTTCATAGCTCGCAGTCAGAGTCCGTGTCCAGGCCTGCGGATCGTCCTTCCCACGCCAGCGCTGCTTTGGCTAGCTGTTCCGGGCTATCACAGTCAGAGTCTCGCTGCAGAACCACTCCTGGACCGTCATGGCCTGTAGGACGAAGGGCTCGCCATTTCCGCCAGTCCTGATCCGAACCTCGCTGGTCGAATGCTCCGGGGATCGACATGGCCCGGACCAGCCAGAACGGCCCTATCGTTCCTGCTCGGCCCCAGCCTCGTGCAGCACGCTCTTTCTCTTTCCTCGCCGGCTGGCCCCCGCTCGCGCCTCGCTCGGCCGTCCTCTTCTTCTCCCGACGCCCCCATGACAAGAATAAAATGTGGATAATTAGAACCGAACTCTGCATGCTAGAGAACAGTACACAAGCCTGGTGTAAAAAGGCGACAGGCAGCAAAGTGCACGTGAGAAGGATATTTACGTTTCGCATGAGCTTTTTCAAAAGAAAACCTTTTGCGTCCTATTTTTTGCACGCCGTCACATTTTTTACCAGACTCAGGATTAAATTTTGTAGCCGAAACAAAGAAAACATTTTTTCTACGAAAATTTACTATTTAAAAACTTGCAGGTTTGGAAGGTTTTGGTTGCGACTGCGCGTGCCGAACGGCTCGCGCGGTCGCAACCAGATGCACGCTTAGAACTACGAGTACCGGAACGGGGCAACGGCCATCTCGCCTGAAGACCTGATCCTCGATGACACAGCGAACAATCGGCCCGATTTTTCCCACCGTATTTCTCTATGTGGCTGTCTCAGAGACTCGTAAAACAACTTGTTTAATATGTTATTTTGCCGAGTAGTCTGCAAAACGAGTTTGCCAGACCACTTTCCAAACCTGCACATGTATTTTCGTTCAATTCAACAATTAATGTAAAATTCACTTACTTGATGCGTCGCACTGCAGTAATCCACTACTGTCGCCGCGTCGCTTCCCAAAATCTTGAAGGGAAGCGGCAAAGTTTGACGCTTGAGTCACCTCCGCGACTGTGGCAGTCTTTCACGCAGCAATAACGACGTTTATATTTTGGGGAAACTCCACGAGTAGGCGAAATGTCACAGGAACCCGGTGAGGTCATGGAGACGTGAAGTTGAGACTTACTTTTACGAAAACCGGTTCCAAAAAGGCTCACGCCGATCCGAAATGCCACGTTCACACGCGGTTCCTAAACGCGCCCGCCCGCAGTCCCCGCAGCCCCCTGC